CTTTCTATGCAGTTTCCACCTATTAACGATCCATTTTGCTGCCTATAATGTTTTGGGTTTGCGGAGAGCTGCGTGATATGTTAATTGTGTTGGGAAGAAAGCTTTCTCTGCAACAATAATGTTGCTGGTGCTCTGAGCAGGCTTTGCAAGACCCTCACCATCACTACGTATGGTGAGGTGGTCAGAAGCACGGGGAGTTCCAGATCCTGCACACTGCCCACGTGCGTCCTGGCCCCAGGATCCGTGGATAATGGGTCCTTTGTAAAGCTGCTCCCTGTGTCTCTTTTGCCCACGGCAGTGTGAAATAATGACTCCAGCAGTACGTATCTGCACAGAAAGCTCTCCTGACTTCCTAGAGGAAAAATGTTTGCCAAGTGCTGCTCAGGGTGGCTTTATCTGTCTTGCTGCGAGGCCTGAGGTAGCAGAGGCCAGAAAGGGTCAAGCGCCAGATTGAGCCCTTTGTGCATATTCATTGGCTGTAGAAAATGCGAATGTGCAGCTCAAAAGTTTCCACTGTGTCTTCAGCAATTAGAGCTTGGTCCAAAGCTTGCTAAAGCCATTGGGAACCTTTCCATGGGGCTCAGATCATGAGTTATATAAGTTTGTGTTGTTTAGCGGCGGTGCCCCAGGGAGGCTGAATGCGAGAGCTGACCTGGCAGCTGCACACACGGCTGCCATCCCATGCAGAATGGTGGCACACAGTGTGCCCACAGAACAGCCAGTGCAGCACCGAGAGGTACTAACTCCCACCTGAAACCAGGACCTCATTCTGGCAAGGACTGCTGAGGTCTTGAGATAAAATGGTGAAAGAACTTGAGCTGCTGGGGCCCAAGTTGCTTCATTTTTCTGATTCAGAGAAACTCAGCTCTGGCTCCTATCTCTAAATGGCATTTAGCTTCCTTGATATTGCTGAGGACATCAACTCCAGTCTTTTTAAAAATTGCTGTTGTTGGAGCTTCTTCATTTTTCTGATGTGCAAAACTGTACACATCATTTCTGGACTCATCCTGTGAGAATACGATGGGAAGAAGCACTGCAGTAAGGTCCTGTTGAGACTGGAACCATTGCACCATGTTGTCAATAAAGGTTTTTATGGCTAAACACACACTGATCCTCTCTGTACGCTTTACTGTCACTCTGCTGTGCTTCATCCTTGAGTCCATTTATTTTGTACTTAACGTTCAATTCTTGGTACTGTATGCAAAAACACGGGATGGCACAGTTCAGGCTGCTGAGACATTAGGCCATTGAACCTTCTCATCAGGGTTGAATGGTTTTAATGCAGTCATAAATTTGGACTCCAAAAGTGGGAATTTGACATGCAGCATTTAAAAGTCAAACCACTATGACCCCTCTTGAGCATGAGCTCCTCCTATAACTTAGAAATGGCCCTTCCTGAAAAAAAAAAAAAAAAAAAAAAAAAAAAAAAAACTAGTGATGTGATTTGGCCTTTGAAAATATAATTATTAATTATTTTTTGCTATAACGTACTTATATCAGTCTTTATTGCCATGATGGCAACATATAGAAAGGGCTGCCAGTTCTTACCTCAAAGAGCTTGTGTCCTAAGGTCAGACCGAGGAGTCTCCAGCAGCCGGGACTGAAGGATTTTGGCAAAGGCTGCAGAACTGGGCTTTGAGCTGACCAAGACCATCTGCCTATGTACTGTATCATCTGGGATGTCATCGCTTTGGCCATGACAACTTTATACCAACCAGTAGGTTTCATTTCAGTGGTAATCTGCTCGTGGCTAAGCTGGGGGCCCGATCCTTAGTGCAGGGGCATTTGAGACGCAGAGCAAGGTTGGGAAGGGAGGAAGTCTGGAGGGTTTGGTTAAGCCCCTTTCTGTGATGAATGCTTTGGTAGAGAAATTCAGTAAACCATTTTCCTGGGCTCAGGCCACAGTTGCCAAACAGGCAAGTTTGACATCAGGGACCATAATAATATTCCCTTTGTATCTTCAAGTAATCCAAGCCAGAGCTCTGGGCACCCAGGCAACTGCAAGTCCCAGCAGCCCATGCTTAGATGTCCCTGCATGGATGGCGCTGAACATACGGATTCCAACTTCACTTTTGCTTTCCAATTGGCTGTTTATCAATTAGAATGCCAGTTCTGCTTAAAAGGACCAGCAGAGCCCACTGTGAAGTCATTATTACCAGCTGGTTTTCCCTAAATATACAGCACCAGCTATTTTTACAATGATCTACCAAGCCAAATATGTTTTCAGTAGTTATGGACACACATTAGCTCTGGTTGTCTCTGAGAGAGTTACTACTGCCTGCTAATCCAAGTATAAAAATGTCCTACAGAGCTGCAGCTGATGGGGCCGTGGAGGTCCTGCAGGGACTGTTAAAGGGAGGCCAGCAGACAAGCAGAAGCTGACTGTCACAGCCTGAGAGAGCCAAATGTTATCAGTGTTATTTTTTATTGTCAAATAAGTGGCTTATGACAGAGTAGCATTTCCTTTGAATAGTTACTAACATTTTACAAGTCTTATAAAGGTACTAGCTAAGTGTATGTGGCTTCCCAGGCCTGATGCATGGCGGCCTGCTACCACAACAGGCTGCCCCTGAGAGATCATAAATACTCGCAGCTGCAGGCTTCTGATTTATCTGCATTTCAAGTGGTAGGGATGGATAGTAGGCTTTTAGCCAAAGATGAGGGTTGCTGACCTCAGGGCACAGCATGCAGAAGAGGTGACTATTTCCTTGTTAGCTGAGGAATATCCTGCAGAAAATAAAAAAGCATTAATCCAATACGGAGGTTTTTCTCTGTGTGAGGTGTGAAAGAAAGTAGCTGCACAAAGACTGCCGTAATCCTTGCAATCTCGTGTGTCCTGAGATCTGCCAGTGCCCTGTGTCATCTGTGCCCAGAACAGCAGGCCTAAGGTTTCCTGAAACATTATTTCCACACACCAAACCCAAAATAATTTTTCATCCTTTCCTCTTCGTATTTGTTCTGTAGCAGCAACTTGTCTTGGCATGCAATACGAGCCATATGGACACAGAAATATCTGCTTTGACCTTGACCTCAGAGTGAGCGCTGCCAAAAATGTGAAGATGACTCCTGCCTTTCATTTCCAAAAGTGATGCTCCACGAATACACCACAGTCTGATCTTTGGGTTGCACTTCAATGTACAGAATATGTTTTTCTCCTTGACTAGGCATTCTTTTATGAGCATATTGTCTGTGATAGGCTAGGAATTTTGAAGCAGTATCCCCAAGGATCACTTACTCGACAGGCATTTATTTCAGAAATAAAAAAAATATGAGCTAATTTTAGCATCAGGTATTGAGAAAGTGCACTGCTTGTAAGTGGCTCTCACTGCACTATTGAGTTCTTTGAAGTGTTCAGATCTTCAGGATGCCCTGCAAAGGAGCGGGAGGCAACTGTGGCAAGGTGAGGTGAATTTTGGTGGTTGTAGAGCTCTGTGCTGTTCTGCTTCAGAAATGATGGTTGGTGATCAAAGCATCGCTCTTAGCTGGATGAGAGGGATAAGTACTGCTCCTTCGGTGAGTTTCTGCTACGTGTATTGAGTCAGAATACACACATTTCATGGCATTTGCCTCTGGCTAAGCCTTCAGACCCAGTGGGCACCTAATCAGAGATTGCCCCATTCCCATTTCGAATGTTCTGCTGGTGCCCACTGCAGATATTCCCTTGTAAGGTAGAAGTAAATGGCATATCAACACTGACAGGGAGAGCTGGCAAACCTGGAGGCACAGAGGGTGGGGAATGTGCAGGCAGGCACTCTACAGTCTTGTCTGGAAGATCCTTACCCTGTTTGGGGTCCTGCAGTTCTGGTGAACTTATTTCCCTGTTTTTTTTAAGACAGTGTCACCTTTCCCCTTGAGATCCTGGGCAGAAATTCACACTAGTAGTGTGCTAATGGTGCCATCTGATGATGCTCAGTGGACTGTGCAAAACAGACTGATCCCTTGTGCAGAGTGGGCAGAGGTCTGCATGACACTTGGCAGTTTCCACATATGGAAATGGTGACATGTGATTGATGTGGTCCCTGCAGGTCACACTAACTCAGAGCATGTTAGCCCTGCGTCCTGGAGAGCCTTATGCTATTGCAGCTGCCCATGTCCATTAACTGGACTCTGAATAGATGTAAGAATTGATGTTCCCAGTGGCGTGAATCTGGCACCTCATGAAACAACGTGCTCTAAAGAGGGAGGTGGGAGGCAAATCTCACTGAATCAAATCCCACAGCACTTATAAGTATAGAACAGGACCCAAACAAAAATTTGTGAGTATCTGAAAAGGGGCAGTTGTATTAGATGGTTAGATCCTCAGTAATCACATGGCTTTTTAAAATGTCTTTGTTAGTTACATTTTCTTGTTTATTTTTGACGTTTGTGGATTTTCCACATCTCATACTCTGAGATCAGAGATGAGATTTCCCAAGTTTCTAAGGGTGCATCATAAGCTAGGAAGTCCATTCATAGCACGTCCCTTCTTGACCTAATTTTCAGTGAGGGCTAAGCAGCTGCTCTCTCAAGAACAGATTGTGTAATGGCATCCAAGACTGGAGGCAGCCAACTTTAGGATTTTGCAGCCAAAATAATGAGCAGACTAAGGTTCCCCATCATGATATGGCCATTCATCTGGAGGCCTTTGGCCAAAACAAAAATGAAAATATCTTTTGTTTCTACCACTGAAGAGTAGGATGCTTTGTATCTTCTTCATGGGGGTCGCCTACAGGTATGTATGATGCTTTAAAATACCCACATGGCAAGCCCCTTTCTTCCTTCACCAGAGATTCTGTGCAGCCTTCTCCTTCCCATCTCACTACTCCCAAACAGCCACTGCAGATCTATTTCTCTTCCAATTCCCAGAGGCACTAACTCTTCTTTTCCAGGGCACAAGGAAGGTAGGCTTTCCTGCCAGCTTGGTTGTCATCTGGGAGGAGCAAAGCACAAGCACACAGCCACGCTGTCCTCCATCTTCTTGTCCCTCCCCTGAGTCTCACCCTTCCTGTTTCTTCCTCCAGGTGTTCTACTGATCTTGGCACTGACGGAAGAGCTGGTGTTTTCTGTTCAGGTACTGTCTCCTGCTGTATCCTCCTCTCAGGGCCTCCTGATGGACACTACCACTGTCACAGCCATGGGAACGACGCCTCGCCACAAGGACCGCCACACGGCAGAGCCCGTCCCCACCTCCGCTCGCGCCGTCCCCCATCCTGTCAGCCTGGCAGGGAGCGAAGCTTCCACTGCTCAAACGCAGGCGAGCAGCCCTCGTGTTGGTGAAAAGGAAACGTATCATTTGTATAACCAGAGTGCTTTGTACTCAGGACAGACTCGCCCCAAAGGGAAAATATTCCAGATTTTCAAAGGCAACTTCACAGAGTCTTCAGAACCTTACCTAAAGACAACCCTGCACTCTCCCTTCCCTACTCTGAGGAGCCCTTTCACAGACCATCCCTTTCAGTCCCAGACCGCAACCTCCAGCGACCCCAATGGCACAGGGTTGGCCAGAACTACGCCCTCAGACCTTTCTCCCCACCCTGACACCTCGGGAAGCCTTAGGGAAGCAGAGCAAGGGAACGGGGCCGAGCGAGTTGTGCAGAATGCAGAGTTTGCCACCACAACTGCTGGACCGCCAGCTGATCCCGAAGCAGTGTCGGTGCCTTTTAAACCCACCCACTATGGTGTATGGGATATGCTGAGCAAAAACAACTCTTGGGTAACCTTGAATCTCAGTACAAATGTCCCCTTGTTTTCTGGCCCTGGAACTGCACCAGCAGCAGCCGGTCACTCAGTCCAGCCCAGCTTTGATGTCAACATCTCCTCCCTGGCAGTGGGGGACCTCGAGAGCACTGCTCCAACACAGCAGGGCCTGGTGACGAACACGACCTCACTGGGCAGCACTGTCTCCACCATGCCTGCCACGGGGTCGTCCAGCTCCATGTCCACTGCTGGTTCCACCGCGACTGGAAACTTCCTCAACAGGCTGGTTCCTGCTGGGACCTGGAAACCTGGGGTGCAGGGAAATATCTCCCATGTCACTGAGGGAGACAAGCCCCAGCACAGAGCTACTATCTGTCTCAGCAAGATGGACATTGCCTGGATCATTCTGGCCATCAGCGTACCGATATCCTCATGTTGTAAGTTAACTGCTGCTTTATTTCTCTTTCTTTCTCGCATTCTTTGGAATTTGGGTTTCGAGCCATTCATGGTGAGTTGAAGAGCCAACAGTGTCAGGATAGACTGAGATAGATGAGAAGAAGTCACCAGACTTGTTCTAACTTGTTCACTGACCAAAGTGCATGTGGAGAGCAGCTCCAAGTGCAGGAGTATAATGCTTACACACAAAGCATACTTTCTGTGATGCTGTTAGAAATCACATAGTCTTTGGGGGCTCTCCGCATGAGGGTATAAGGCAAAGGCTGAACAACTGTAGAAGGCAAAGCAGTTTTACTTCAAAATGTTTGAGTTGGTGACCAAAAATCGTGCAACTGTTTGATTTATTGAGTGCTACATTCTGCCCAGGAACTGGTTTTTAAAAGCCCACTGCTAACCCAAAAGATTGATGATAATTACTATGACTGGTACCTTAGGGAACTACAGCTTTACCTGTGCAATGAAATATTTAACTGCAAGCAGTTTGTGAACCATCAGTTTTAAAGTCACATCATTCTGATAACCAGTTCGTTATTTCCCTCCATTTTAATTCTGTCTGACCTGGAACTGCCTCAGCAGCAGGAAGCATTTGAAGTGCTGGCTTCCAGACCACAGGAATCAGACACCTGAGGGACCAGCATCAGTTAGTGTCCAGAGCTGGCTTAGGGTCTCATCATTTGTCTCAGCAGCAGCAAAAAAAAAAAAAAAAAAAAGTTGTTGAACAGTGTGAAAGCTTGAGTGGGCACTGTTGTGTCCCCTACCTAGCAAAGTTGTTTCAGCAATGTAGGACAATATAGTCTCTGGTATTTCACTCTTTGGAGCCAAGGAAAAGACACTCAGTGTGCTATGGGATGTGGTTACACTGATCTGTTTGGAGAAGCATTTCCCAGCCTTTGCTGCCCGTGGAAAAATGAAAGGGCAGCTGCCAGCAATAGTGAGCATTAATCCTGTTATTTACAGCTATGAGTGGTGCTGAGTTCATGGTTAGATGTGTTGACTGAGTCAGTCTTACTCAGAGCATTCTCCTTCCCAAAGGGGGAGTGCTGTCCTCACCTGGCACCTCTCTGAGCCACTTTCAGGTTGCTCATGTGGTCAGAAATATTCACTTTGCTCTTTGCGCACATAGTGGGCTGAGTCAGCTCCCTGCAGGTCAATAAGCACAAGATCTGGAGCAGACAAGCTGCAGGGTGCACACCTGGAAAGGAAGCAGGACCAATACTCTTGGCAGCTGAGAATTATTGGATTGGCTCAGCATACCTGTTAAGCTTGTGCCCCTGGGGCCATCAGTCCTGCTATTGCCAACGTGGTTAAAACCACTGGTCAAAACAAGGCTTAAATCTAAAAGACTGACAATCAAAACAAAGTGAAACAAAAGCACAAGTGTGCATGTATACTTCTATGGAGAATGAGATACAGAAGAGAACGTGGGTTATAGTAAGTACAGCATGAAAATAAGAAGCAATATTTGATGACCTAATGAACAGTGCTTTGTCTATCAATCACTAGAGATAGAGGATAAATAAATTCTTCCCTTCACTATGTTTGAGGCCAGTATTGAAAAAGAAAGTTGCAAGTAGAAACTTGAAAAGAAAGTTGCTGAGTAGAGTGCATCCAAATGCAAAATGCAGCACAAGCAGAGGAAGCATGACCAGTGTGCCCATTGGTGTATGTGCCTTCTTGTATTGTGCCTTATATAAGCCACTAACTCAGGATAGGTATTAATAATACGATTAAGTGTCTGACAGCATGATTTCTAACCTACTGCTCATTATATGGTGAGAACTTTTCTTCTTATTGTATGTGTCATAAATGGTGTGTGTTTGTATGGCTGCATCTATCCTGCTTCTTGTACTTGAAAGCTATAGTTTAGAACAGGTAATTGTTGTTTTGCCAGTTACCTACACCAGCTGTAATGCAACTGAGTTTTTACACCATCCAGATACCGAAGTTGTGCTTTCAAGAACAAATTTCTGGGTCTTCAGTGGGACTCTCGTTTTAAAATCTGGGGATGCTCAGAGCTAAAATGCGTGGTAGACAGGCACGTAAACATTTTCTGTGGCATACAGTGCACATACAGCATACAGCGCAGTGTTCAGCACACGGTGTGCAGCAGTGCCAGCGAAGGGGACTGCCGCCACCTCCAGGGCACAGAGCTCACAGCCGAAGAAACAGCCGTGCTGCGATCGCTCCTCACTTCTGCTTTGGATGCTAAGAGACAGATAAGAGACAAAGCCCTTTGGGTTTCGTGTCTTCTTCAAGGAAGTGAAGTGTTTTAAGTGAGAGGTCTTCACAGCTGTGGTGAGCATGGGCTGAGAAGACACTGTCCTCCTGCCTTGGGATGCTGCCCAGAGGAAGTGTTAAGGGCATCGAGGCCCAGCCCTGTGCTGTTTATACCTGAGCTGCATTAAGCAGGAACAGCCTCCGCACAGCAGCCTCCTAGTCCTCATAAAGATGCATAGGTTTGAGTCCCACTGAAAAGCCTTCACATTCTAGGCAGATAAGTAATGGCTTGAGTAGGAGGGAACGTGCCACGTCTGCTGTGTGAATCTGGGGAAATCATCTCACCTTTCGGTACCTCAGTTTTGTGGTATGAATAATGAGAGTAATGTTGCTTGCTCCAGTTGAGGGCTGCAAAACTGAAGGATAGCGTATCATTATGTTCCCAGAAAAGCAAAGTGCTGTATTACACAGATACCAGTAATTTCTGCATGTCACAGCTGCAGTTAGTTTCACAGTGGCCTTCAGACAGCCTTGACCATTCTTCTGCACGTGTGTGTGCCCCTGTCTCACATGTGGCTGCAGTGCAGAGTGAGGCTCCATATGAACTTGTTTTAAAACTCACTGGCACAGTCCTTGGGCTCCCAGAACTTAGAACTCTGTAATTACAGACTGGCACAATAAAATGTTGAAGAACTGAAACCTGTAAATCAGATGCACAGAAGTCAGTTCAGTCCGTCAGTTGTGCTGATGTGAGAAAACACAAGGGAAAGGCTGAGCCTCAAATGGAGGCGTCAGCAGAACTCAAAGAATAGATGAAGATCTGCCTTGAACCCAACCCTGTGCAGTCACATTTCACACACTGTGACACTTTCAAAATCATCTCACCTACTTTCTCAGTCACTACAACTGCAAATGTTTGCTTCCCCAGTCTGAAGAATGATTCCGAGCACTGAGTCTCCTCCTCAAGGTTGAGCTCTGACCCAGCCTTAGAGACCCCTTGTCTCCAGGTGGTCACTAACAAAACCCATTGGGATACCTGCAACACAGCTGAGGTTGTAATACTGTAGACAGCCCAACTGACAGGCACGCTTTTACAGAGGTGCTTAATGATGGGCAGTTAAGATACAGTCACAGTAAATGAGAAAAAAAGGAAGAAAATCTGGATAAAATGCCACTGTAGCTATCAAGGTGAGGGTTCTCCACAAGCTGTGTTTATCTATGATTTACAGACACAGAGAAAAAAACTAACATCCCACAGTCTGAATATTTCCTGAATTTTAACTTTCAGCATTCAAGTGTGTTTAATGTGGAGCCAGAGAGTATGTGGAGGGGGTATGTAGTTATATAGGCATGGTAACGTTTATGTGAGTTAAAAGAACAGACAGAAGGCTACCAGATAACTGTAGGCAGTTAGTATAATTTCCTTATGATGCTTTATAAAGCCAGTATTGAACATGGTGTATAATCCTAGTTTATGTTTAAAAGATAAAATAAAATAAAATTGAAGTTCAGAAAGGAGCCACATGAATGATTCAGGAGCTGAGAAATTTAACATAACTCCACTTGTGAAATTACACAGTCCAGGCAAAGGCTTAAGCCCACAGGTTTGAGATGTTGCCCACACGTTTGAGACATTGCTGATGGCATAGTGGAGGCTTTTAAAACAAAAAAGGCAAAAGGAGACTGAGAAAGTGGAGCTGAAGCTGGAGGAGCTCAGCCTACAAGGGAAATGCAAGCACATTTCCATGACGGTTATTAAGTATTGAACAAACTTATTGGGAATGTGATGGAAATGCAGTCACTCCAGATCCTTAAACCAAGTGGGGCGTTTTCCTGCATCGTGTTTTGTATCTGAAATACAGCTTATGGGCAGGGGACCAAAGTTACCAGGCAAAGGTCTCCTGGTGTGCAGGTGTTGTGCAGGCGAGTGTAGATGATTGGTGTGCTTTCACCAGCCTGGAAACCTATAACAGTGTGAGAATCCCATTTCTCCTGTTTGTGGGATACATCATGTCCTGTGTTGGAGGTAAGGGACACGATCTGCTCTTGGACAAGATAGAAGCTGGTGTCAGAGCCCGAGTGCATCAGCAACTCTCAGCCCCTGAATGTGCGTGTTGACATTTCTCTCTCCAGAACAGAAGTGGGCCAGTGGATACATATTCAGAATGCTTCCAAGCTCTCTGAACAAAATTCCTCACGTTTCCTAAATGTATAGTAATCATTGTACAGGGAGCTTCAGGCTGACCCAGGGACATCACTGAGATGTCCTTCTCGTGGCACCTGGGATTAACTGCAAAATGGAGCAGCCAAAGCAAAAAGTCAGTACAGCTTCCCTGACCCCAGGAAGGATTCAGGTGAGTGTCAGAACACCAAAATTAGAACTTTCTGTGCCCAAAGGGCATCATTTTCTGAGGAAAAGTTGATATGCAGCACTGAACAGCAGCACTTTCTCATCTTTACAGGGGAATGTCGTAACAGGGATGATAGGAGGGGAATTGCAGCTAGCCTTCCTCTTCCAGCTCCCTTGTATTGTTGCTGCCATTTTTCCATCCCCAACCATCTCTGCCCTTTCTGTGTGTCATCCATTTAGCATGTCCTCGCTGACCATCGCAGCTGCCTGCCTGGAAAGAGGGTTTCTACAATAGACATAATACTAATCATGGGACTGAATAGATATCCAAGAATAAAGGTGACCTGTACACCATTCCTGTTTTTGTTCTAAGAGCTACATTAGATTCACTAAAATCAGCTGTAAGAAGGTTAGTTAATTTGAGAGAAAGAGGAGCACCCCTCTTCAAGCCCTGCTGTCCTGCTGTCCTTTCTCTCCCTCTTAAACCCCATCTCCTCTGCTTGGAAGCAGTTTAGGCAGACAGCCTTCTGCTAAAATATCTTAGATTTGAGGAAGTTTGGGAACTTATTTTCTACAGCCTTTCATCCATTTGCTTGTTTATGCGCTGAGGTTGGAGGCCAGGAGCATAATTAAGGGAGAGAGCACAGTTGCTATATGGCAAACACATCTTCACACAGCAAGGCCATTTCCTGCTGGAAGGAGCAGAGACCTCCTTCAACTTAATGTCATTGGCTTTGCAGCTCCTAAAACCTAAATCCAATCCTTCCCTGTCAGCAGCCACAATATTTTATAAGCTGTAAAACTTTGAGTTTTCAAAACATTTGCACAGAAAGTGCTTTCCTGGGGCTCTCGTCTCCTCAGGCAACTTCAGAATGGCGGCGTGCCTCAGAGAGCACCGGGAGGATGAACTGTATGTCCCACTTCACTTTCTCATCCTAACAAGCCTTCAGACTAGGCTGGGACTCAGAGCAGCCTCCTGGGCCCCAGCAAAGCATGGGGTGAAAACGCAGCCGTTGGGGAGGTCAAGCATTTCCCTAGGCAGAGAGCAGTGCTGCTGGCAAGGAGGGGGCTGCCTGCACAGGAGCTCAGCAGCACCAGTTGCTGACTGTTGCCCAGACTGGATAATAGTAAGTTTGATAATAGCCACCTTTTTTTTTAATTGTGCAAGAGATTTTTTTCCCATTAGTTTTGTAAGATGATTTATAGCATAAGCTCACCTTTCCCTTTGAATGAGACATGAACTGCCTGACTCAAACCTATTACCATTTTTTCTTGGTAGCTTATCCTTTTGTTTTAAATAGAGCTCTAGCCTTGCACTTTCGCATTGCCATTTTATGTGAATAGATGGGAGATGAAATTAGATCCATGGCATATGGGTAGCTGCAATGTTTGTCAAAACATACAAGGCAGTTCTGACCTCTCTGCAGTCTTTTCTTTCCCCAGGCTATAATTCTAATAAATAATTTTAGCTGTAGCTGAGAAAATAATATATTTTCCTGCTCCATGAATATTTTTTCCTTTTCTATCATGAGGGGTTTAGAAATTATGGAGTGAATTTACAGAATGGCATTCCCTATTTCACTGGTACAAATCAAAGTGAGTATGCACCCAGCTACCTGTCTGTCTGTATAAATCAGGTAGATTACGAGCCCAAATGTTCAATTTGTTCCACAGGTGTAAAATAAGCACACCGAGCTTTGCGTTACTCCTCCGAATAAACCCTTGTATGCACCTAAATTCTGCCTGAGCAATGGCCAGTGGGAGCAGTAAGTCTGTTAGAGTGGGTTTGCCCAGCTCTCATAAAATCGCTGAGATTACAAAACTGAATTGCAACAGAGATGATCAAAATGAGAGCAATTCCAGAAAACAGACTGGCACCACTGCCGCCATTCAGATGTAGACAGGCAGGAAAATCCCAGTTCTGGTCGGCTTGGCCCAGGGCTACCCTGGAAATGTCAGCTACACAAGGCAGGTGCCAGAGGGGATCCCCAACCCTCCTCAGTTGCTGTCTCATCCTGTACAGGACCTCTGTTCCCATGGTGGTCTCTGTTTTGGAGTGGTCACATGCTCCATGTTCTGTCTGTGAGGTACTGGGGCAGGGATCAGCAGCAGGGGCTTTGGATGTTGAGGACGTACAACTACATGCATTTGTGAATTTGGTATTTGAGCCTTGGGCCAGTATCTGTCACTGCCCTCTGCTCACAGCTGCAGGGTCTGAACATGCCAGAAACAGAAGACATCTATGCAGAAGTATCATTTGCAGTCCTCTGTCCAAGAGCGTCTGTCAGTCCCTGGCGAGGTGTTAAAATGCCATCCATTACAACACCAGAGCTTCTTCATTAGCCAGGCAGCCACATCAGAAGGTTTACAAACTCATGTCAAAAAGAAAGTGAAAACTACGTATCCTGCCAAGCCCAAAGTCTCATCTTCTTGGGCCAGATCCTGACTTAACTGTGTGGTTCCTGTTAGATTGGAGCTTGGTCTAACTGAGGGTGAACTGTATGAATGAAGGTCACCAGCTCTCTCCTTAAGTAGCTTTAAGCCATATCCCCACTACTGATGAGTCCTTCTTGAAAGGAAATAACCAACTTTTCACGTTTCTGTTAACAGCAGTTCTTCTGACAGTCTGCTGCATGAGGAGAAAGAAAAAGACATCCAACCCAGAAAACAATCTGAGCTATTGGAATAATGCTATTACCATGGACTACTTCAACAGGCATGCTGTGGAGTTACCGAGAGAGATCCAGTCCCTGGAAACATCAGAGGTACCTCACTTGCATAACTAGTGCTTGAAAACTGTAACTGAAGGCATACTGGGAGACAAGGAGAGCAAGTCATACTAATAAAGCCCTGAAAACAACTGCTTACGAGGGTGGATAGTGATAGGGCAAGGGGGAATGGTTTTAAATTGAGGCAGGGGAGGTTTAGGCTAGATATCTGGAGGAAGTTTCTCACACAGAAGGTGGTGAAGCACTGGAACAGGTTGCCCAAGGAGGCTGTGGATGCCCCATCCCTGGAGGCATTCAAATCCAGGCTGGATGTGGCTCTAGGCAGCCTGGTCTGCTGGTTGGCGACCTGCACATAGCAGGGGGTTGGAACTGGATGAGCATTTGGTCCTTTTCAACCCAGGCCATTCTATGATTCTATAATTCTATGAAATCTCTATGCATACTCAGGGAAACAGCTTTTCAGAAAGCTTAACCTCTTTCCAGCAAGTCTATCATAAGGTGCAATAAACAATAACAAATAAGCCTATAGTTTTTCAAGTGCCAGTTCAGAGAGTGAGTCCTCCAGTACATTAGTGATCCAAACATCAGCATATGGGAGTGTATAGGGCTGGCACACACTCCTCAGCTTTTCCTGAAGGGTTTTTTGTGTTTCACTATTAGTATTCCTGTATGGGCAGGTGATCCTACTGATGGAAATACTAGCTGGCCTTGGAGTCAGAAAAGAATAATTTAGCTTAGTTCAAAGGTATTTAAAACTTAGAACCAGTGAAGAGTTTGAGCTTATGCTGAAGTGATTTTCAAGAGATCAGCTGGCTAACTAACTCATTGGATTGAAATAAAAAAGTGTTCAGAAAGAAATCTCTGAGATGTGACAAGATAAGCACTCACAATCACTTCATCAATGGCACTTTGCTGGCAATCATGGAGCTCCCGCTGAAGCAGGATTCTGTTCTAGACTTAGGAAGCAGCAGCTTTCACATGATAGGACCATTCACATGGCCTCCAGTAGTGCCATGTGATCATTTTAAACTGATTGGAATGCTACTGGACTGGTAGCTTCAAGCCATCTATTCGGTTGTCTGACCTCAAAAAGTGGTGCAAATGCATCTTTCGCAAGTTAAGCCATGCTGTCAGGTGGGAATACGTCATGAAAGTGAAAAAAAAGAAAAGTGGAAGGTCAAACACTGGTTTGGTGTGTCTGATTTGTGGGTCCCCTTACTGAGAAAAAAATCAGCCTGATTATCAGCAGAATTGAGGATTGTCAGAGAAAAGAGGATTATCAGAGCAGTGAGTGCTTATCTTCACGCACGGCTCCCGCTGCCTGCAGAACTGGCTCTCTGAGGTTAGATCTCCTTTTGGAGCCCCCCGCGATTCAGGCATTTTCTGCGGGATGGGACCGAGCGCCCCAGGACAGAAGGAACAGCCCTTTTCTCACACCTGAGGGCTGCTCTGTGCGCTCCGGAGGGCGACGGTGCGACACGCTCATGCTGCTCTCTGCCCTTCTCCTAGGACCACCTCTCTGAGCCACGCTCCCCTGCCAACGGCGACTACCGCGACAGCGGGATGGTGCTCGTGAACCCCTTCTGTCAGGAAACGCTGTTTGTGGGCCACGAGCAAGTCTCTGAGATATAAGCCCACGGCCGCCCTCCTCCTGCAGTTTCATCTCTACTGTCTCCAAATTATAAATAAATATATATATTATAAATATAACCTTTGTGTAACCCTGAATTACAAGAAATGTTTTCAGCTTTTCTGTTCTTTTTCCCTCAGAATTGTCAACCCCTTTTTTATAAGTGTGGTAAAACTTTACAGAACAAACTGTGGCTTTATAAAATAAAGGTATTTCTAAGCAAAACACCTGTCGGATTGACTGCTTTCTTCCCTGTCCTTTACAGCCTGTTGCTAAATCTACTTGGCCTGAAAGAACACTGGGTAAAGCCGGTTCTGATGCAGGCAGTGTGTTTGCTATAGCATCCTGTAGTGGTTTCAGAGCAATCTGAAGTTATGTGATGTCTCTCAGCCTGGCTGTGTGTTCCTCCTTGGTGACCATCCCCTCCCTACACTGTATTGCCAGCTGGCTTAGGTCATTCCTTTAGGTTGCCAGGCTGGGATACAGGCAGAGCAGGACCAGTGTGGTCTCCAGTAGCAGCCCATGTGGCTCACATGCCTGTCATGCATCCTGTGCATGGCTCCAGTTCTGCCTGTGCACCCAGTGGGATGAGTCAGAGTCTGAATCCCACTGGGGTCTGCAAACTCAGCAGGGAAAGAGCAGGAAAGCTGGGACAGAGCAGGATGGTGAATGAACATAATACACCCATGGGGTCCGGGAGATGGGCAACCCACCTGGGTAGCAGCATTGCCCAGTGACTTTTTTATGCTATCTCTCTTAGATAGGAAGACTTGAGCTCTAGTTTTAGCTTTGAAAGTGTTTTACAAGAGCAGAGATCAGAATGGCCTTTTTTCCTGCATAAATGCCCTAACAATTACACTTTGGACATGCAGCTGCTCTTCTCCAGCCCAATGAGTCCTGAATTACTTCCCACAGAGCAGACAACCTCCAAAGAAGGCAAGTAGAGTGTCCCCTTCATAGGAAATCTCCACAGTGTTTTGGAGCAAATTGGCATTTCAGTCCTACCCAGTTAAGCACCAGATTGCAAGCTGTAATAATAGTGTGGGAATAGGAAAGGCAAATGAACCTTAAATGATGGGTTAGAAATGGGCCATTACAAGCAGAGGGTAACATGGAATGTGGAATGACTTTGCTAAATCGATGTTCTCTCTTCAAGTAAACCTGAACTGTTAACACGGGACCAATTTTTGGTTTTGCTCTGCAGATTGCCTTTCTCACTTTGCTCAGCAAGTGGAGTGGCTTCTGTCCTTTGAGGCCTCAGCCATCTCCCATCCATTTTTGGCCATTGGTCCTTGTAGAGTACTTTCTTCTTTCACTCCTGACTTCATGGAAAGTGGCTATAAGGCAGCACAGAGCTTACCCCATGCTCTGGTTGGCTGCTTTGCACCACCGGCTGCACAAGGTTATCAGCAGAAAGGTACCTCGGGCAAGGCAAGGTCAGAGCAGCATTGCTAACCACACACCTTGCTGAAGCAAGCCACATCTGGTAACAGAAAAGGGAATTCTAGCTGTGACACATCTCATCCAGCTGTACCACCTGCCAGCAGAGTCCCAGTGTCTGTGGATCCCCAGAGCAATCTGACAGATTGATTACGTGATGGCTGGAATTGCACCAAGATGCAGCTCCCTCAGGGGCTGGGGGCCATAAAGGCATCTTCACCCCTTCTTTCTCCCTGTCCCACACATGCGTTTCTTCTGTGCTGAAGCACAGATGTGGCTTCCTAAGATAACGCAATTGAAATGTTAGAGATACTGGATGTTTCCACTCGGAATCACAGAGTGATGCACTGCTTCCCTCAGAAGTTGCAGGGCAGGCAGTAAGACACAACTGTGCGTGGACAGGGACAGGCATGAAGGAAGGTGTGGGACAAGCATCATGCAGTGAGGTATCTGTGATCCTCCTGATGGAATACCAAACAGCCTCCTGCAAACTGCTGGCAGGTGACAGAGTAAAGGTTTCCTGAGCATCTTGCAAAAAGCAAAAGCAATCAGATCTTCAGCTACTGGGTATTTTGAAAAGGGGGTATAAGGGGAGAACAAGTTGGCAAAGAAACAAATCAAGTTGTCACTGGAATATACAAACTCACTGGAGGATTCCTCTCCCTTAGCCAGTCCAGTTTGCTTGGAAACCTCAGTCCACAACACTTGAGAAAGTACTCAGAGCCACATGCAGAGCTGTGAGATGCTGTGGTGTCCACAGGCTTCACACAAAGGCGCAGTGCCAACCTGACCTCCAGCAATCTCATTGTGTTTGTACTTAAAAGTCAAGCAGAGACGTGAAGGGTGCTTGCCCCTGAGCTGAGACTGCTGGGCCAGGTCTGCGTGCCCTGGGGAGGCCGAAACACTGAGAAATCCAGAAGCTGTCCATAGAATGAGGAGGGATTCAAGTCCCTGCAGCACCAAAACGTGAGCTGGGCATGGCCACGGCTCTGCAGGCGCCTCAGAGGTTGGTTTTAGTTAACTGGAAGTAATGTCTTGCTGCAGGAGGGCCTGTCTAGAGTAAGCAAGCAGCTAGTGTGTTTGTAATTCATGGATAGATGGATTAGGGCAGGAGATCATCCGGACGTCAGCTCAGAGAACACCGCTGGCATTTTCACACGTACGCTGTCATGAATTCCTGCCCCGCTGTGCCTGTAAACACCATTGTGCTGTTCATCTGCCACATTTGCAGCAGCAGCAGCAGGGAGATTTCCCCTGAAATGGATTGCTGACCCAGCGGCCGCCCAGACAATGCACAAAGCCCGCCTTCCAGAAAGCCGTCGCACAAAGCCGAAAGCCCCACCGAACCCCGACCTGCTGGGCTCGGCACATCCCTCCTGCCAGTGCGGGGCTGGCGGCGGGGCTGAGCGGGCCACAGCGGCACCATGCCCTTGCCCAGGCGCCGGTCGTCCTTCCTGGGGCAGCAAGCCCCTTCCTCTGCCACCGAGAGCGTGGGGGGCCCGGGGCGCCGGGTGAGCGTGGGCAGCCTGTCACGGCCGCCTGGTGTCTATGTGGGTGCCGTGCCCACAGGAGGAGTGAGCAGCTTGGGCACCCGCGTGTCCCGCCGAGCGCTGGGCATCAGCAGCGTCTTCCTGCAAGGCCTGCGCAGCTCCTGCTCCGCCGTGCCCCTGGCCACGGGGCTGGAGAAGGGCAGGGGGTTCTCCTATGAGAGCCTGAACGGCTGCCTGGTGGAGTACATCGAGAAGGTGCGGGCCCTCGAGCAGGTCAACCAGGAGCTGGAAGAGCACATCCGAGTCTACCTGGACAAGAAGTCCTCCAGCGTGGGCAGCTGGGGCGCGCTGCGGGAGAGCTGGGAGGCCGTGTACCACCAGGTGAGCGCAGGGCTGGGGAGGAGCGCGGCATAACCTGGTGTGTGCAGCAGACACGGAGGATGTTAAGTCTGTCCTCGTGATAATTACAGCCTTATCGTTTCGCAGCGTGCCGAGAAAATGCTTATTAAGGAGGAGAATTGCCTGAGGCATCCTGTGCATGGGAGTGATTGAAATGCACCCTGAAGTGCCATACTCTGCTCTCGTGGAAATGGGCGATTTCTTTAATATTTTTCTTCCTTAGCTGTGGTTATTAAGCTGAGCATCAAAATTATTAAAAGGAAACTGCTAGGACCGAATTAGCTTATCCATCATCGTGATATCGTTACAAGCCTGTTGGTTGCGTTGGCGGTTTTTTTATTAATTAGCAATTCAGATTTTTACTTTATTCCCTTGTTTGCTTTATCACGTTTTCCAAAAGCTCTATTTATTGAAAAATGATCATTACATGACTGCAAATGAACGACTCCATCCCCTTGCTTCCCATTGTGGCCATCTCCTGCTCCCACATCCCCACGGAGCAGAGGCTGTGCAGTCCTGGGAGGCTCTAAAGAGAAGCACTGCCTGGGGGTGCCAAGCTCACATTGATGCCGTGGACCAGCAACAAGCCCCAAAGGATCACATCCTCCTGATTCCTTTTGCTGGGAGTAAAGGAGCTGGAAGCAGTCGGGCTCTGCTTGCCAGTGTCCTGCTGCAGGGAGAATGAGGCTCTGCTTCCGTCCTTCAGCGCTCCTTGAAGGTTGCAGCTCTTTGGCTCTCCAGCCCATAGTCTTGCCACTCGTAACCCCTGATGTCTTACAACAGTCTTAGAGGGGGCAATTCTTTTCGGACCCTGTTGGATGGTCTTCAGGAGGCCTGAAAGGCAGCTTCACATTCCCCAAGAACTTCTGTGCTGTGCCACAGGTGTATACAACACAGAGTTGTACCTCTGGCTCAGGAAAGAGGGTGTGTTGTTAGTGTGCTGCACTTTTAGGGCAGGGCTGCACCCAGAATGCCTTAAATGCCGCCTGAACCCCATGTGCAATGGGATAACCAATTCTATGACAGCATAAACCCCAACCACCTTCACATTCAGCTGTCAGGTGGGGTTGTTAGCTTTTAACCTTGTGTGCAGGCAACATTACAGGTTTTACAGGGTACACATCAATCTCCCCAGCCTCTATGCAGCTGCTACTTTTCCCAAGGCAGCGCAACAAAAGGCCACTCTTGCTACTTTCATGCTTTTCTCTTTTGGGCTCTGAAAACAGGCCCAGCCGTGAGAGGCTGCCCAAAAGCATTGCAACATCAGTGCTTGGCACCTGAGCAGCAGCACGTGGATCATGAGCCTTTAGTCTGGCCTAGCTTTGAACTGGAATGTGTTGGAGACAGTGGTATGATAGAAACCATCCATTTCAGCATGTAGAAGGAAAGATTGAGCCAGGGTCTCCTAAAGTTTTCCTGTGAAGGCATCATGTGCAAAATTAAAAGCCCAAATGATTTTCTGTTATATGAATAATCAACACATGACATTCATTATCACACCTGAGGCCATGGACTCAACAGCATCCAGAAAGTCATCAGGCATTGGTAAAAACAGCAGAACTATGCAAAGCTATTAAAAAAGCATAGCTAAGAATTCGGAAGGTGTGGTAAATTGTGCAGTCCCAAACTTGGACAGGTCTCTGCTAAAATGAGAAACTGCCAGCCACCAGGGCTAAGTTTGGCCTGTAAGTGTCATCACACATCAGCAAGGATGCAGCCTGCATGCTCGAAGCACACAGTTTTTCTTGCTGCCAGACATAACCCCGTGAACGTGGGTGTCAGTGCAGCCTGGTGAATCAGTAGCTTCTATTCAAATGATATCTTTGCTAAAAGTTCAAGTTGTGTTTTCACACCCACAAGGTGAAGTTAAAGAAAATGGTTGAGGCATTCTAATTGTTTCGTATCACAAATATTCAGTGTTAACTTGAGCTGGAAAAACGCACTTTCAGAAGGTGCATGTGCATCACAGATCCAAATGCAGAAAGACAACATGGGGCTTTAAGGGCTTTTATTATTTGTATTTGAGCTCTAAGTTGCCATCCTGGCAGAGAGCAAAGCCTGCAGCAGCCCCACGAGGCAGCACAGTCCTGCTTTGGGCTTTGCAAATAGAGCCAGCAGGGCCCTCCAATGGCCTGCAGACACAAGCAAGGCTGTTTCCTAAAGTGCTGCATTGCATCTTTTCCTATGCGTGTCAGCAGAGTGACTGCAAATCAGTCTCACATAATGCTATGTGTTTGGATCTAGTTGTTGATTAGGAGATCTACATCAAAGGGGAGAGCCACTAGATGGGAGTCTTACTCCTCTTTTTAAGCCAGTAAAAGGGCTCATGTAAATTAGAATTTCTCATGAAACTTGGTTTATGGAGTAATAATCCTCCAGGTTCACTGCTGCATTTAAATGGTACACAGCTCACTTCTGCTGATTACAGTGGTGACTGCCATCTTCCGAATCCTTTTTTCATACCGCTTTTATTTCTGTGGCACTGTTCAGGTTTGTACCATGATGCAAAGCCCTGAAGTTACCACCAGGCATCTGGTGCCAGCAGCAGGTCTGTGAGGGGTTTTTACTGCCTGCTGGAGGGGGTCAGCTGTGACCAACAGGTTATCCCAAGTGCTTCAGCAAAACCACAGGATTACTATTACAAAGCACTTGGAAGAAACATTTTGCCTCCGCATAGAGGCAGAAACACAGGCAGTGGAAAATTAGCATCTCTTTCCTGCTCCTGCTACCATTGCAGACCATGAGCCATTTTGCACTGAACTCAACTTCTCCAGTTGTGATTAACATCTCTCTGAACTGCACCGTAGATATTTGCAGGCAAAACGTTCCCACTTTCCTCAAAAGCTTTCATTTTCCATAGACATTTGGTCAGATACTGCAACTGTGTGGGCTCACAGCTGGAGGCAAATTGACTTGTTTTGGCAGGTCAGGGCAAATCACAGGGCAGCATTTATTTACACTGAGTAGAGTGAGGGAAAAAAATATCAGCTTCATCCATTCATGTATGAGTGGCAGCAGGAGAACAAAATGCAGTAATTTCTATAGAAACAAAGGGGGAAAAAAAAAAGATTCCAGGATCAAATTTTCTAAAACTGAGGAAAGAAGATTCAGTGGTGCGTGGGTCAACCATGCTGCTGCCACGTGGCCTTTTCTCCATCCTGCAAGGGGAAAAAAGGGACACAACAGTATTGCCCCAAAGGCTTTGGGAGGTGCAGCCAGGCTCCAGCCCTTCCATCACACAGCTGAATTGCCTTCACCTGTGCTCCTGTGGCTCACTCAGTGCTCGCCTCAGGTGGTCAATCAGAGGCTCAGGCTGTGATTCAGCAGCCCCATACACTGAGCCATCGCTGTGTGCTGGAGAGCACGAAAGGGTCTTGTGGCTGGTCTGGCTGCTATGCCACAAGGCATGTTCTCTGCCCACACCTGTAACTTTTGTAACATCTCTGACTTCTGTACATTACTCTGTGCTTTGAAGGTTTCTCAGACCTAAACTGAGGCTTATCTTGGCCCTTGGTGACATTTGTGGAATTCAGCCCCTCTGTCTAGATATTACTTTCATGACACGTGTAGGAACTTGCAGCTTTTTATATGGACCAGTCCTCTAGCATATTATTTGGAACTGGCCAAGAAATCCCAGTGTTATAAAAGAAAAACTGTCAGCTCAACATGTAATGGCACAAGTTCTGTTTCCTCTGGAAGCCAGGCTAAGCTAAAGCTGGTAGGAATGGGATTCCAGCCATGGCCACTGTATGGGAACTGTTGTGTCACAGCCTGAAGCACTGATTGATCACCTGAGGCGAGCACTGAGTCAGCCATGGAGCACAGGTGAAGGCGATTCAGCTGTGTGATGGAAGGGCTGGAGCCTGGCTGCACCTTTCCTAGACCCATTTAAGGGCTGACTGCCATGGGGAAGGGTTTCTTTCTGGAGATTGCTCCCTTTGGAGTTTTTTCTGCAAGCCTAGGACACGGGTGAGCATTTTCATTTATTTTTGATTATCTCTTTCCACCATGATAATCCTAATTACATGACCTGTGGAATACCAATCTAACCACGTTGCTCTGCTGGTTGTATATTTATTGATTGTACAGACATCTTTTCCTGTTGCTTATAACAGCAGGTGAGAAGTAAGCAAGTTGTTACTTTTACTCCAGTACCTCCACAGATTTAAAAAATGTAGAGTGCTACTAACTTCCAAACCTCCACCAAGAACATCTCAATGTAGGGAACAAGATAATAATATTCCCCAGCTCTCTCCTACTCTATGAGCTTGTAAGAATTTATGGCAGCGGGCTACTTTTTCTAATGACTGATGTTAATTATCACATCACATACCAAGGTTTCGGCACTGCATTTCCCCTCCACCCCCTTCACTGAGCAGCAGGCTGTGGAGGAGGTAGGAGGATCGCACTGCAGCACAGATCCCACTGGCAGTACTTGGGGTGACTTGTCTGAACGCAGCCTTGAAGCCCCGTATTCCACAGTGTGTTTCACCTTGGGAGAACAGAACAGAACACTTCAAGGGATTTGCAATCCCATACAGCTGCAGGCTTAATTATCCAAAGTAAGATTTCTACATATAGGGTTTTCCTGGCTCACTTAAGAATCTGCTCCTATTCCTGTGGTGGTTTGGTTTCAACCACAAATCTCTGTACGTATCTCCTGGAACAGACCAAAGAGATGTTTGTTTACTCAGACTGTCACAGCCCTACAGGCTCCTGTAGCACCATGCAGCCTCCCACTCTTGGTCCTTCACTACCAACCCTGTCACGTGGCAGCCACTTGAGGTGCAGACAATGGGACTGGGTCTGTATTGAGTTTCCAGGAAGGTCCCCAGCTTCAGCTTGTTGCTGATCCTGGAGGTTGGTCCCAGCCGTCATCATGGCTTCTCTGGCTTCAAGCTCGGTTCAGCTCCTCCAGAGTGCAGCAGCGGTCTCAGGTGGCTGGGCCTGTGGAGCCTCTGGTTTAAGTGGTTGCTGTCACCCTAATAGCAAATTGGACCTTTCTTCAGCCAGTGCATGTGATGCTCTAGGGCAGGCTGTGGCCTTTTTTTATCATTTTCTTGAATCCCAACAGGGTGCTGTGTCACAAGCCTTTCAGATTTGATTGCCCCTCAAGTGCCTCCTGGGGATTAAAGCTACACCAAAGAATCCTAGCAATGATACCACAGTCTTATTGGCACAGTCTCTCCAAAGCTCTTCACATTTGCTGTAGTAATATTTGAAGACTGACTGCTTCCCAGGTCTTGTATCTACAGCAAGAGCGTATGCAATCCCATCAGAGAAGAAAAACAGTGCTCTGGGAACTGAGGACCACTCACTCAAGGCACAAGCATCAAATATTCCTTGGCTCACAGAAGATGACGACCCTGAGGAGGACTGCTGATATGGGAAGTAGAATAGGAGCTGCATAAGTGCTCCTTAAACTGTATCTAGAAACTCTAAGTGGGACTTAAATGCTGAACATACCCTGTGTGCAGTAATGAATGTTACCCCTTGTGACCAGCTGACAGTCAGGATGAATGTGTTTCTACAAGAAGATGAATCTTTAGGAGCAACAAACGTGTCGGTGAAAAATCACAGCCAATTTGCAGACAAACTGTGAATTGATATGTACAAAACTCATTGATTAAATTACCTGGAATGAGTTGTGTGAACAGCCCCAGGCTGAAAGATTATTTTCAGAATCAGAACTGTTCATCTGCTTAAGACAGATGGGCCGTGCAGGTAGTGCCTGTGTGAGGTGCTAATTGCTTGAGCTGTGTTGTCTCTCCCTTCCAGGTGGGCGAAGCAGTCCTTGAGAACGCCCGTCTCATGCTGCACACCGAGAACATTCAGGCCTCTGCTGAAGACTTTAAGGACAGGTAAGACCTGTGGCTGCACCTGGCTGCCCTGCTTCCCTGACGCTTTGCCTTGGCAAATGCTTACTCAGTGGGGTTGTGAGGCTTAGTGACTATTAGCCCACCTAATGTGGGAGGGTTGTTGTAACACAGAAAAATAACTACAATTCTAGCATTATTTTGAAATGCGTTCTGAAGATTAATATTTATTAATCTAATCATGTGTAGGGTTATTCTTTGATAAATGGGCATTGATCTCTTCCTGAGAGGCCAGTATTCATTCAGATTAGTGTTGAAACTTTACAGAGGCAAGCGTTCGTGTGATTTTTAGTTCCAATTTGCAGTGCTGCAGCAGTGGTTTTAGAACTGTTGGCTGTTCTGCTGCAGCACCTGAAACACAAACAGTGCACCACTACAAACCTTGCTGTGGAAACATCAGATAACAGAAGAGAAATGGGCTGCATTTATTTTCCTTCTCTTCACTGAGAGAAATGAATAGTGAAAGAAGATCCAAAGTAATGATAAATGACTTTTTAAAAAGTCTTTCTGCTTGTAAAGCCTAATATTTATGTACATGAACACGTGAAGCTCTGTAAGTATTACTCACAGGGCCTGACCTTCTAGTTTTTACTCATAATGGACTTGCACATTTACAAATAGCCATTTCCCATGAGTTTTGTCATCCCTTAAGCTTCTGTTTCTCCCCTCAGCTTTATTTTATTTAATCACATCAGAATGTGCATTAGTCATGTTCATAGGGTTGTCTTTTTGTTGCTTGTTGCTTTACATCCACTAAGCTACACACGTATTTTAAGTCGTTTAAAAAATAAAGTGTGTGTGCAGAAAGAGAGAAAGAGAAACACCACCCTGTTGTTGTGCTGTATGTCCTGATGACTTGAGAGTATGGCAGGGAGGAGCAGGCAGCAGCAGCTGCCACAGCAGTCACACTGAGAAACAGAAAAATCCACACGTATTCATATGGTATACAAACATCAGGCCTGGTGGAAGACAACTTGCCTCCCCATGCTTATCAGTGCTGTCAGCCTGACACTGCTGCACCGCAGCTGGCTGGCTGGCCTCTTTCATTAGGCTCAATGTTAATGACAAGGTACGTTGAGGCAAAGGTGAAGGTAGAGCACATCTCATGTGCCTGTCAGGGACACAAGAGCTAATTAACAAAATGGTGTCGTTAAAAAGATGCACATTTTTCTTGCTGAGCTGTGCCTGCTTTATTTTCCTCTCTACAGGTATGAAAATGAACAGCCATTCAGAAAGGCAGTGGAAGATGAAATTAATTCCCTTTACAAAGTGATTGACGATGCTAATTTAACTAAAATGGATCTGGAGAGCCAGATAGAAAGCATGAAAGAGGAGCTAACTTTGCTGTCAAAGACTCACGAAGAAGTAAGTCCAGGCTTGGAGTGCTGCAGAGCTAATGTGTGCCTGCTTCATGTGGCTGGCATCGTGCACTGGGCAGAGCAAGCACTGGAGCACTGCACCTGCCATCTCCTGATGGGGGAAACTTCCTACTGTTCTCCTCTCTGTTAATTTACAGTGCTAACTTTTGAGGCATGATAAGGTTACACAGATGTGAGTGTCAACTCTTTCCTGTCTGATAAATATGGCACTGAACAGATGTCCATACCCCATTTTTTTGCTGGATAGGAGACAAGACGTTCACAAGGTTCTGAATGTGGAAATCCCAGAAGCAAAAGGTCAGATTCACAGCCACAGAGATGTAAAGAGAAAATGCCTGTACAGGGGACTGGCTCCAGTCCTGCTGAGCTGACAATGTCCTAACTCAATGTGGCTCAGGATGTAGCTGAGCACAATGCCTGGTTCCCAAAACCGAACCCCCCGAGCAGTGCGCTGAAGGAAGCAGCAGGAACAGGCAGCTGAGGCGGATCGCCATATTGCCCAGCTTTGCAGTACATCCCCAGTTACTCATTACGGTCACCTGCACTATTTGCATGACTGTGGTTTATTCCCTTCAGCAAGGATTTCAGCATCTGGCCCAGATCTTCACCAATGGGGCCTCAATTAAGCAGCTGCTACTCAACTCATGTAGGACGCAGTCAGCAGTTGTGCTGATGGCTCTAAAGTAGAGGAGAGATTGAATTGGGATGTATTGTGGATGTGAAGCTCTGTCCTTACATTTCTTTCAGCTGATTTTTTTTTTTTAGCTGATTTTTTCCAGATACGAGATTTTGGCAATACTGGTAGTCATGTGGAGGGTTGGGGTGCCAAGGGAGAGCTTCATCCTGTCCCCACTTTCATGAGCCTATGCCCGGGACTGGCTTTTTGCTGAAAGTGACCGGTGGCTTCACTACTGCTGCAAGCCACAAGAAAGATGGAGTTTCTTTTAGATAAGAAGGAAAACATGGAAAATTGGAATAGATGTGCAAGATCCCCTTTAAACTTCCATGTATTACTGCAGTGTTTATTGTGAAACAAAGTTGGCATTGATGCTCTTCTCCACCTGTACATGTGGCACAAAGAAAACAACAGCTTCCCAGCAGCTCCTCTCCCTCTGCATTCAGCCAGTGCCACTGAAAAAGAAACCCTCCTGTGCACTAAATCATTAACAGTGAGGGCACCCACCACTGGGGACCAGGTTTAATTTCTCTGTGGCACCAAAATAGCTCTTCCTCAAACTCCTCTCTGATGCTACCATTCAGTGATCTGTTTCACTTTTTCTTATGTCTGTTATTGTTGTTCAAGGATGTGAAGGTATTGTACAAACAGCTTGCTGGATCTCAGCTGGAAGAACTTGATGTTCCTCTGGGAAGTGGCCTGGACAACATACTGGAAAAAATCAGAATCCATTGGGAGAGAGACATTGAAAAGAATCGTGCTGAGGCAGGTGCCCTGCTCCGTACCAAGGTAAGCACTGATGCCAGTGTCCATAAGTTACTCCAGTGTCTAGAGATTCAAAGCAAACCTAAAATCTGCCCAGCACTTTGCAATAACTTCAAGGGCTGGTTTTTGGTTTTGGTGTTTTTGTTTGGAAATGGCACCACTGGTATCACAGGTATTTGTGGGAGATTCTAAGGGCTCTGCAACATTGGCTAAGAAAAATGAACTTAATCACTTGATACATGCTGTGGAGGATGCACCAATCATTACCCTACTTACTGGGGCCTTTCCTTTTCTGGAGAATGTACAGAGACCCATAAATCAAAAGGGCAAAATACCTCACTCTGTGCTAGTTATACAGCTACGCATTCCTCATGCATTTCTCCTTGAAATTGTTTCCTTTGGCAGCAGGGGGAAAACTGGAAATGAAAAGTGATAATAGATATTCTCTTTGGAATTTGTCTCCTCTCTTGATGCTGAATCTAAACCAGCCTTCTGACGCAGCTCTTCCTCTGTCACAAAGAATCACTCATTTTCCTGCCCGACTGAAGTATTTGTGCAAAACTGAAGCATTAAGTTCATGATCCTGTATTTTAACAGCTGTCTAATTCTGAGTTGGTAGTGACACATCAACTCATAACTACAGCTGTGCTGCAAAGATATTTAGCAAAGATGCAGTCTCATCTGTCCTTTGATACAGAGTTACTATGGGAGAGGAAGGGGGAGGTGGTGCCAAAGAGAAAAGCAAGAAATACGTTTGCAAAGACATATGCAAGTTCTGAGTGGGTGTCTACGTTCAAAATGGGGAAAACAGATCGTATGACAGTGATATCTAAGATGCTAGGGAATGTACAAGGGAGTACAGGGGAGCCAACAAAGACTTTTTCCTGGAGGACCCACATTCTTCAATGTCCCCACTTCTCTGTTCTAATTACTCCTCCGTATGTGCAAACTGTCAGTCGCAACTTCATCCTCTCCATTTCCTTCGTACCTCCAACCTTTCATCTGCTCACAGATATGATTTGGAGAGAAAACTGCCAGCTCAAAATGACCATTTGATCCCACAGCTGTGATTTCAATCGAGGCCACCATCAGATGCGGCAGAGAAACTGACAGGCAGACAAAGCCTGGCCTCTCCTTTCTTCACCACCTTAGTCAGATCTCTTCTTACTTCAAAGATTTGTTGCAGTTATACTTGTTTTGATTTGCTTTTCCAATGGAAGAAAGAACCAGAGTATCAGAGATTTTTGGGAAGAACAGTTCTGGTTTTGAACAGGTTCTGGTACAACATTTTAGCTTGGGTTCTTTTTGTCCCCAAATTAAACTCCGATCATGCAGCTTTGTATCTCATCCAGATAAATACACTTTGTTACTATTTCTACAGGTAACAGGAGCTATGCTAAGTATGACCAGCGCCTTTTCCAGCCTCCCTGTGCTGTTGGGTCACACCATTTTGTCATCCAAATGGTGACAAATTTGTCTTTTCACTTTTGCAGCATTGAAAGAGGATGAGAACTCCTTAATCTCTGATCTATTCTTTGCCTCACTTACTTTTTCTTCCAGGTGGACTTGCAATTTTGGGTTGATTTTCATGGGTATTTATGCACAAAAACAGTTTATACCTAGTGATATTTTATTATTATTTGATCTTAACATGTACAATAAAAATATGCATGATTAGAAAATCAGAAGAGAACCAAAATGAATTTTCAAGGTAGAATGGAAGTGTTATACATGGTTTAACTTCAGTGGTAATCTGGATTGGATTTGACTGAAGAATCAATTACTCTTGTTAGAGAGCCCAGAGCTACGGCCTGAAAACCTAGATCACAAAATAGCATAGAAGTATATGAAAGTGCATTTAAAAGATCATTAGAAGTATAGAAATTTTATTTTGGCTAAAGTATATTCTCCTTCAGCAATATTAGAGGCATCTGAATGTAACATATATAAAAAATGGCAAGCAACAAGAGCATTAGAATCCTATGTGAATAAAGGCAGTGTGAATATATCCGAAATCAAATGGGCCAAGTGAAAACACTTAACTTCTGAAAATTGTTATAGTAGGGCCACAAAAAAAAAAAAAGACAAGGTATAATTACAGCAATGTTTTCTTTTCATAGGTGATTTTAAACTTGCCAGTAGGAATGTTGGATAGCTTTTGTTGACAAAGTATGTATGCTTACATGTATAGGCCATTTTACAGTAAGTGCCTAGACAGTAGTAACTAACCAAACCATAATGGATGGAATTTAATGTACAGTGATCAAACTCAAAATCAGAATTGCCACAAACTGAAAAAAAATATTAATGGTCATGTTGGAATGTAAGGCAACTAAACCATAATTTGAGTACAGTGTAACTAGAAGCCATAATCTTGCACCAGCAACAGGCTGAAGCGACAGCTGCAGTGCGAAGCCAAGAGGAAGAACTGGTAGAGGGCCTGAGAACTGAGTTCCATGAAACTGCCTGCAAAATACAGAGCTTGCAAGCCGAAACTGAGTCCTTGAGAACCTTGGTAGGTAACACTGGTTTTGAATGGTTATCTTCTGTGTGACTTCATCATGCTTTCTGCAGAGAGCATGCCCTCATTGTGTCTTCAGTGTCTCCATACTCATCTTAATACTAAGTTTCACTGAGATTGCTGGGCAGGTTGTATTCTGTAAGGTAGAATAGTTCAGCTGGAAGAGACTTTCAGTGACCATCTAGACCAACTGCATGACCTCTCCTGGTGTAACCAAAAGCTAAGGCATGTTATGAGGGCATTGTCCAAACGCCTCGAGCAATGACAGCCATGAGGCACCAGCCGCCTCACTCGGAAGCCTGTTCCAGTATTCGACCACCCTCACAGTAGAGACATTTTTCCTCGTGTCCAGTCTGAGCCTCCCTTGGTGTAGCTTTGTTTTCTTCCCTTCCTGCTACTGGTTCCCAGGAGCAGAGCCAGCACATCCCTCTGCTTCCCCTCCTTGTAGAGCTGCAGGGAGCAATGACATCACCTCTTGGCTTTCTCCAGGCAATGTAATCCAAGTGCCCTTAGCCCCTCCTTACAGGACATGCCTCCCAACCCTGTCACAAGCTTTGTTGCTCTCCTCTGTCTGCTTTCAAGAGGAGCCCAGTACCTTGGAACCAAACTGATTCTGCTTTTGTAATGATAATACACGTTTTTCAGACAGTTTAACAAGAGAAACTCTCATAATATTAGATTGCCACTTCAGCATAGTCAATGAATATATTGGCCAAACCTGAAAAAAAAATTACTCTGAAGCATATTAAAACTATTTTAATATCTGGCCTTATAGAAGAGGGGTCTGGAGAATTCCCTATACGATGCCAAGCACTGGCATGAGATTGAACTGCAGAACCTGGGCTCTGTCATTTCCAAGCTGGAGGCAGAGATGGCAGAAATCAAAGCAGAAACTGAGCAGCAGCAGCGGGATCGTGAGAATCTGCTGACCAACAAGCAGCAGCTAGAGAAAGACATTGCTGCATATCACTGCCTTCTGGATGGAGAGCAAAGCAGGTACTTTCATCTGAAACATGCATGGGCACTCTGGGAAGAGAATGTGACTAGAGCAGTTCTCAGGTTTCTTAAAGCTGGGTGGTAGGTGGGTAGGTTTGGAGAAGCTGCCAAAGGGGAGGAACACCCCAAATCCAGCTGTGGTGAAATTCCTGATATGTGGGACAGAACAGCTTTTCAGTAGTCACAAAAGAATGAAGTTTAAAAATACAGAAGGTCCATCAGCCCCACTTCCCTGAAGGCAAAATCTGAAATTAAACAGCAGCTGCACCACCTGGGGGCTATGCCTCTGGCTGCAAACCATCCATGCTGTTGTTTCTGTTTCTTGCCTTGGGTACGTTACACCTTCCCTCCTCTTCCAGTTATACAGTCAAAACATTAAAGCTGTCTTCCTGGGAAAGTTCCCTTTCTAATCACGTAAGTTGCTCCTGAAGTCTCAGAACAGAATTTGGCCTGTTCAGTGACCCTTTTTGAAGAAATGTATTTCAGATTTCTAACAGTCATCCTCAGGGAATGGCCTGTAAACTCTTTTACAGCATTGGACAGCTTGTCTGGTTGTTTTTTGTTATCTGTGTGTGTGTGTGTGTGTGTGTGTTTTAAGATATTTATTCACTGTTGGAAGGAGGAGATTTCACCAGCTGAACTGAACATTTAGTTCAATAACTGTCTTATTTGTAGTAATGATGAATCTTATTTTTTAACTTTCAGTTGATCATGAAATTCCCATTCTATAGAAGATCATTGCCACTCAAAGCAAAAGAAGATGTCACTGCTAAGTATGTTCTTGGAAGCTAAATGCCCATCAAAGCAGCCTGCTTTATTCAGTTTGATTCAACGATCAAAGTAGGTTGTAGCTTGAACAACTTTATTAGACCCTCTTCATGTAATTGCTTTGCTTACAGATTTCAATTTACTCATGTTGTTAAAATTATAATAAAAATAAAGAATATCAGAGGTTTTTTGTTTGACTTTTTCTTTCAGTATTTTTTGTGATAGCTGAGGGGGACTATGTTAGCAGCATAGTGCCTCTACTTCCCACCAGGTCTGTTTCTTGGTTTTAGTACAAATGCATTAAGACTGGACTACTCCTGTACTATGCAACCAGCACAAATGGCAAGTACTCTCGTGTTACAAGACCAGCAGCTCATTAGAGTGAAATGTAGTTAAAATGAAGCCCGAGCAATTCAACTGTTGCATCAACTTGATGCAATTAATTCTGCAATGCATAAGCTAGTAAGAGCACTAATGCAAGCATCCAAACAGTACTTAGTAAATATGCTTTGACTCTAAACTAAACTTTTGGAAAAGCTGAAGGTTAAGGAGAGCAACAGCATCTCTGTTTGCAGTCTGGGTCACATCCTTTTATTGTCCGCTCTGTTGGATCAGGATTTCACAACACAGATACTTACAAAAAGAGATAAGACTGTTTATTAAGTGGACTCAAAGACTACTTAGAAATGGCATATATTAGAGAACACTGCATGTTCTCTAACAGCAGCTGTGACAGGCTGAAGGTATTTCAATTTTTAGTTGAAACATTAGCTAACAAAACTATTTCATTTTTAATGACAGTTAAGATTCAAATCCACTGCAAATCCACTACACTTGATCCATCAGTGAATAAGAGGAATCAGCACACAACTGTCAAACCTTTCCATGCACATTTCCCCACACATGGAAAGTCCTTCCTGGTGCAATTATTTGACAGACAATTTCTTGACTAATCTCTGGAAACAAAAAGCCCTGTGAGCATGCACTGACTGGAAGATTTTTCTAAGATGTTAAGAGATTAACCAGCAACCCAAAAGAACAAAACCCTTTTTTTCTCTTACAGAATGTATGCTGCTCAGAGCAGTGATAAAACCTTCTTCCACATCTGTGCAGAATTTATCAAGTTGAGAAACCATCAAGAGTAGTGGTGATGATAGATAATAGCCATAAAGAGCTGTACATGAGATGCAATGACACAGATCCTTGGATTGTTGTTAAGCAGATTTGCTGTGGCAGAGACTGAACCAGAACCCTTTTGCAAGCTGCTCTGCCCAGCAGCTGCACTTTCCTAAGAGCACCTTCTCCAATTCCCTTCGGCAGGCATCTGCCTAAGAGTTACCAAGTTAATGTTCTGCATTATCTTGTGATCCGCTAATGTCAAAGCAGTCTGAGGTACTCCTACCTTCATTTCACAGGATGGAGATAATTTGGTACAGATAAGTCATGATAAGGCAAAACACAAAATGACTGGAAGTTTGTTCCTAACTCTTCCCCAAGTTTTGCATTGTCACCCACAACACCCTTTGCTTTCCCTTTCTGCAGCTTCTCCACATGCATAGTGATTACTGCTGCATTTCTACAACATGCAGTACTGCTTCATTCCCTGGTGTATGTAAAACGCATCAAGATGCACAAGGAACAGTGTCCTGGCAAGAAACATCATAACCACAGGACAGAGTCAAGGTGTGTAGGTATGGCAGTACGCCATGGCAAGCACACTGCGCCACACACTAACATGGGGGAGAAAAGAGACAAAGTCCTCCCTGCAAATCTGAACCTAAGCAGAGGCACACAGAACACTGCATCTTTCCAAGGGTTGGTTGCACAGGTCAATGATTTGTCATGCAGTAGGAACCTGTCTGCTGAGCTCATGCTCCCGTCACGGCTGCGAGGCATTCTGGATAAAGTCCTTGCATTGCAAATGTTACTTCTGCTAGTCTGTGCCTGCAAGCCATTCTTCAGCCAACTGTCCTCTACTCAAGGACTGAAGATCACCGAATTTGAGAGGAAAAGAACATCAATAATGACCTTTTTTTTTTTTTTTTAATGACTCTAATATATTACACCACAACAATCTCAACCATATAAGCTAACGCAACACATTTGCAGCTGACTACAAATTCTGCACGTCAGCATGTTTTTGCAGTTTTGCATAAAGCTAGAGGTGGGAGGAAAATCTAGGCATAGCCACATAACTAATGCTTCCTGTAAAGTGCCAACTCAGTCGTGTCTTTAAATCTGGATCTAAGCCTTCAGAACCCTAAAACATTTCCACTCCTATTTTCCACGGTTTCCACTGAAACCATGTTAAGTCTGTTCCACATTTAACAGCTGAAATTTCTCTTGGTACTTGGCTCCTGACAGCTATTAAGTTTTTAATCCAGAGTTGGTCATTCCAGCCTTACACTATTTTGTTTGCAACGGATAAGAGACGCAGACACTAAAAGCAGGAAAAAGGTATCAGATTCACGTTCTTTAGCCTGATACTAGGGATTTCCCATAATAATGCAATGAAAACATTTTACCAGCTGCTGAAATACAGAAAGCATATCTTAGAATCACCCACAGCACTGTACTTATGGGCCATTATTAGCTTCTCTGCTACAAAAGCTGAGGGATACAACTTATCTGCTTAGTTGCATTTTGTTATCAGCACTGAGCCTGCAAGTCACGGCCCGGTGCAGTGCAGAGATAGGGGAGCTTCCCAGGCAGAAATGCAATGCAAATGCAAGGGAAGGCAAGAGAGACTCGAAGACTTTCTCACCTACCTGTCCTTAGCAACTTTCTACCAGCTGAGGAGGGCAATGTGAGAGACCAGGTGCTCCTACGGACACAGAGAACGAGACTTCACCGTGGAATTTGTTCTCCACTGATGCAATTGTGCCTATGGTAAAACAGAAAGCCTCGCTGACCACACAGCACTCTCAGTGTCACTGGGTGAACAACCTTCAGGAGCGCTCCTGCTGCACCGCTCAGAGCTGAGCCCCCGCACCGGCACCCGGTGAGGTGCGTTTCCCCGGGGTACGAGCCCCACCTTGGCTAATTTGCCCCAGGGTTCACGAGGGACGCACTGATATCCCGGCTATCGGAGCGCCGTACGAGCACCGCTCCGCGGGCGCTGAGAGGAACGAGCCGTTATCCCGAGGCGGGAAGCGGCCAACGTTCGGCGCCGCCCGCGCCCGGCACGCGCCGAGAAGCCCCAACGCGCACGCGCAACCAGAACCCCACCCATCCCGCCGCCTGAGCCCAACGGTCCCCGGTGCGCCCGCCCTCGCCCCTCCTCGACCAATCGGCATCCGCGCCGTCACCTCCCCGTACGCCACGCATTCTAGCGTCGCGACGTCAGCGGCTCGCCCCGGAGGCTTCCGACTGGCCGGCGGGCGCTTCCTCCTCGGCCGCTCGTTGGCCGAGGGGCTTCGGCGCACGCGCAGAAGTCTCCGCCCGCCCCACGCTCTCCCGCCCGGCGGCGCGTCAGCCGGAAGACGCCGCCCCCTGGCTCTAGCCGCGCCCCCTCCGCTTCGTGCCGTGTCAAGCGGCGGCCAACGGCGTGGAGTGCGGCAGCCTCCCGCCGCCGCGCAACGGGCGGGCCCGGCGGGCCGCTAAGCGCTTGGGGACGCACCTGTCGGCCCGGCCGCTTCCTGCCTCCTCCCGCCGCCGTTAGGAGCGGCACCCGGCCCCGCCGCCGCCATGGCGGAGACCGAGGAGAGGAGCCTCGACGACTTCTTCGCCAAGCGGGACAAGAAGAAACGGAAGGAGAAGAGCGGCCGCGGCGCCGCCGCGGCTTCCACGGCCTCCAGCGCTTCCAGCGCCGCCTCCAACGCCGCCGGAGCGGCCGCTGCGGCCGGAGGACCCCGCCCGACCGACGGCGGCGGCGGCTCGGGGGCGACCGCCTCGAGCGGCGGCTCCGCTAAAAGCAAGGTGCGGCCCGGGGCGGCGCTGGGGGAAGGGGCACGGCCGCCTCCGGGCGCGGGGCCGCGGCGCCTTCCTGCCGGCAGGGGGAGCGCCGGGGCGGCGCCGTCTCGGCCACGCGGGGCGCGGGCGGCTCTGCCCCGCCGCGGCCACGCGGGAGGCACGGGGCTGCGCCTGCTGGGGGCGCGGAGCCTGGCGGGGGAGCCGCTGCCGGGAGGGCTTGGGATGTGTGGTGGTGGTGGTGGCGGTGGCGGTGGCGGTGAGAGCGCGAGGTGAGTGCTGGCAGCTGGTGTTTGGGGCCTCGCACTGCGTGTCGCTGACGCTGGGGTGCTCGCAGCTTTCTGGCTGGAGCAAAGGCGACGGAAAACCTTCCTGCTTTTTTCTTGTCGGTGAACGCGGCTCTGGTGGCTTGGGTTGGAAATCAAGTTCCTTAAATGCGAAAGGTGCGTTAATTTGGGAGCTGTGCTGTTTCCATGGAGATGGGGGTATAAGAAGTCTGCAAGCTCGGAGCTGTGGAGTCGCATGTGTGCGGAAGCCTCTGAGTCCTTAACAGGCCGTGCGGTGACTCCAAGCCGCTTCTGCTGTCGCTTCGGGGCAGGTCGCAGTCTGTGCTGCAGGTCGGTGGTGTGCAGGGCTCCTCAAAGGAGCTGTGTCCTTAGCTGCCCGACTGGAAGGACACCGAGCCGTTGGCATGCATGCTGCGAGCGGTGTAACACAGGAAGCATGTAACTGCTAATTAGGCAGCGTGTTTCAAACCTGTGACTAAGGAGAACTGCTCGTCTGTTCTCGTCTCCTTCAGCCCTACTTTAATAACACCGGGACCTGCTGAAGTACAAAATTGGATCCACTCAGGTGGATTCCGCCTTCCTCGTGTCCTTCCCAGAGGCTGGAAGCGATTCAGGAT